CTTCTTAGCGAACAGCTCACGTATTAAATCAAATTTTTCCTGGTGTCTCCTTTCTTTTGCGGTTTCCTTTTTTTCATAATAATCCCATCTTTTCTCCTGGTTAGTCTTTCTAGCCTTTTTTATCTCCACCGAACTTTCAGTATCATCTGTTGTTGGGCTTTTGCAGATTTTTTTTTACATTGGTGCATCATCTAATTTAGGATATTTGACAGTTTTGGCACTTCGCAGAACCTCAGGTTGAATGCTATCGTCCGAATGAGCAATTTTGCTTAATTGTTCTTCAAATGGCACTTCCTCTCTGGAACTGCCAGATTTACTGTTATTCTCCACTGCCTTTTTTTCCTCTTATAAGAACAGTTTTGTATCGGTTCTTAATTTGTGTCAGAGTTTTCGAAACATTCAACATTTCTGCCATATCTTTTGATATTTGTAGCCACTTTTGTTTTTTGTTTTAAATTTTTTCATGGGACCAATATTGGCCAAGTATAATTCTAATTTGTCCAACATGAACGATGTTGCTGAATCGCTCCAGAAATCTAAATAACAATTTTTTTATATATTGTAATTTTTTATTTTGTAGTTATAATATTAGAAATAATTAATGGCATATTACATTAATAAATCGAATTTCCTTTGCAATATCATACTCAGATAGCACAGAGAATGAAAAAAGAACTCATTGTCAGTTATACGTCACCAATTCTGAATTTATTTAATGCAAAAAGAATTCTTTTTCTACAAGGGATTCTTTTTGTACCTGAAAATGAACTCAAAATTGATGACATAAACTGAATATATACTAATGAATTCTTTTAGGCTTTGTGTGCTATGGGGGTATAAACAAACGTTTCATGCAAAATTTTCTGAATAAAAAAAATTACGAAGCTGAAAATTAATATGAATTTTGCATAATATGCTATTATAATATTGTACTGGTATTGCAACACCGAGCAATTAATATGAAATATTAATATTGCTAATGAAATCTATTTACCGCAACTTCTGTCAATTTTTGTCACGTACTCCTCCGATTCGAATTTTGAATGTGTACCTTCGTTTTCTTCGTTATGCACTGTTAATAGCTGCCCTCGATCATTGTGGTCCAAATTAACAAAGTTCGTATGGAATATCAAATTTTCTCTGTAATAAAACACATATTCTTATTATATTTTTACTTTTTATTGATATGTATATTCCATTTGAATTAAGACTTCGATTATTTTAACAAGAAGAAGTTTGAGATTGTATACAATTATTTTTGATTAATATTGAAACATTGATACTAAAAATCAATATACAATTGACTTTATCTTTACTTACTTATTTTCGATTATCCGAAATATTTCCACAATTTCTTGATTTTCCTTATCAAATTTAAGCAATCCATTTTTTACCAGAAGTTCTATGTATTGTTTACTGTAAATATCATTGTCTGAAAGTGATCAGAGTAGACAAATTTACTATTATTGTTTTTTCATTGTTAAAAAATATTTGTAAATAATTGAAATATGTTTTTCAAGCATAAACGTATATATTTTTTCATAAAAAAGTTATTACTTAAGCAACGAATATAGTATCATTTCTGTTCAGAGATTTGATCAAGATATACAATGTATGGAATTTTATTTCACGGAAACTACAATACATATAGGTACTATGACATTTAAGCTACAATACATATACTGTAACATTTAAGCCTTTTCAATGTTTTTCTCTCTTTATTTCAATTTTCCTGCAATAAAATTCCAAAAAAACATCTTTGTCAAGATCCTACAAATAACCTTAAAATGCATACTTACTTATTAATTTATGGTAAACCTTTATTTTACTTGCTTGCAGTTCTAACGTTATCAATTTGTTATTAACCTTAAATTTTACTTCCATATTGATAAGAAGATCGTCCCTGCTTAAAAAAACCGATAGAAAATGATAAAAACAGATTAAAACTTTATTGAAATTTTATCTAATTTTATGGTAAAGTTATCGTTTCAATCGGACCTACATTTGAGCTACTATAGAGAAGTTATCTATTTCTATAATTTCTTAACAAGATCGGAAGAGCACACGTCTGAACTCCAGTCA